GGGGGGGGGGCGAGGCACATGCACGCACCCTTGGTTGAGCAAACCGAAAAGACCGGCACCGAACGGGAGACGCTGCCACAAGAGGCCGCCCGCGGCCGCAAGTTGAAAACCTCCTCGGGCGAGGTGCCGGAGTTGAGAGACACAAAGTCCAACAGGACGCCCGTGGGGAAGGTGTCGAAACTGGTGCGAATGTATGCATCCAGTGCCAGGTCGGCGTCCTGGAGCAGCAGCGAGTCCCGCTGGGCGGCGGTCGGTTGCTCCGGGTCCGGGGCAGCCAACGCCGCGGGCGCCGGCGGCGAGGGCGTGGTGCCCGCGGTGCCGGCGCCCGGGCCGCCGCCGCCGCCGCCGCCGCCAAGGCGACCCCCGCTGATGGAGCCCTTGGCACAGATGTGCTCCGCCAGCCGGGACATGTCGCCCCCATCGAGGGTCGAGTCCACCGGGTACGAGTAGGATGAGGGGAGGTGGTGGCCACCGGGGAAAGACCGGAAGAGCCGGCCCGCCGGACTGAGGGTCCGTGAGAAGGGGTTTTCCCAGAGGATGAAGCGCTGCCGGGCCAGGGCAGGACCAAAGAGGGATGTCGGCAAAAGCAGGGACCCCGGCCGGAGGGAGGAGAAGGGCAAGAAGGACACCAGGGACAGGGGCCGCGGGGTGGAGGGGCCGGCGGCGGGGCCGGCGGGGGCCATTCCCGAGGCAGGTGCCGATGCGGCGCCGGTCGCCTCGCGCCGCGAGCCCGGGGCCAGGGAAGATCGACACTCGGGGCCGGGCGGCGGCCGGCTCACCGCCAACGAGGAGGAGAGGGAGGGCGAGGGGTGGCGCTGAAACCGGTCGTCCCCCGGCTCGAAGAGGCAGCTCCGAGCGAAGGCCACTCGCAGGACACGCAAAAAGCGAATGAGGCAGGTCCACAGGAAGGAGGTGATGTGGGACTTGACTTGGGGATGCTCTCGGTACGAGTAGGACCAGATGCCGGCCATGTGGGCCACCGAGGCGACGCGCGCCTCGCGCAGATGAACCTGCGCCAAGGCCAGCCCCCCGCCGAGACTGTGCCCGACCAGATCGACCCCGGCAAAGGGGCAGCGCGCGCGCGAGCACGCGCACCGGTCCAAATGGCAGGCCGAGGCGCCGGGCGAGTCGATCGCCGGTGGACAAGGGGAAAGGTCATCCGTGGACACTGGGGCCGTGGTGTCGCCCATGCTGCCAGTGCCGGCATCGGCATCGGCCACCGGGGCCGGGGCCCACCGGCGAATGAAGCCAATCGCATCCAGACAGGCAGGCAAATCGGCGCGAATATACTCGCCAATGCGATCCGGAGTGCGCATGGCATTCAGAGGATCCGTGGCAGGGGTCGCCGGCGGCCGGGGCCTGGCCGCAGGGGAGCCCGCTGGCAGCAGGGGATCGGTGTCGCTGGCGGCGCCGGCGCCGGGCAAGTCGCCGGGGGGGTCGTCCGCCGCCTGAAGGCCGAGCTGCTTGGCCGCCAGGGCCACGGGAGCGGCAAGGGATGGCGAGCGACAGCGCCGGAGACCCTGGCACTGGCTGCCGGCCACAGGGCCGGCAGTGGGCCCCGCCGCCCCGGGGCGCAGCTGCCGACTGACCTGGCTCAAAACCGACGCTCGGCCGGACTCGGCCGTTCCACGCAGGGACACGGCATAGACATCCCGCCCGGCGGCGGCCAGCATGTTGAACGGGGAGAAGGGGAATTCCCAGCCGGCCTGGTGTTCGAGGCCAAGCTCGAGGGTCGGGCCGGTGGGAGAGCCCTCGCCGGCGAAGGGGCATCGGCTCACGTGCGAAGCATAGCAGGCGCCGGGCCCCTCGCGGCGGAAGGTGGCCCACGATAGCGGAGCAAAGGGATTGGCCACCGTCGAGAAGCAGGAGCAAGCCGGCGAGTGCCAGGCGAAGCGATTCTGAGCAAACCCATGTACCAGCAGCACCGGTGACCCGGCCTTGGCCGAGGTCCAGGCCAGGGGGTTGCCTGTGTGCAAGAAGCGCCGCTCGAGGATGACGCTGCCGCCTCCCAGGGCATCGGCGATGTCCAGCTGGTAGAGCTACCCGGCGGGGGAGGCGAGAAGGACAGTCAGTGGCAGGGCATCGGCCGGAGGAAGCAGGAGGCAGCAATGCGACAGGGGCCCCTACCTGTTCGCAGAGGACCACCGAAATGGGCTCGCCGTGGGGGAGGAGCAGGGAGTGCACCGACTCGGTGACCAGGCGAGAGGAACACAGTTGGATTTGAACAACCGGCAGTGAGCTGGGTCGATGGAGAGACACGAAGCGCCATGCCAAGGCAACGGGGACACAGGTCAGGGAACAGGCAACGGGGGGGGGGGGGGGGGGGGGCATCAGGCGAGGGACAATCTTTTGCTCGCGGACATGGCACGCACAAGTCCGCCAGCGGGCGGGGCACTCCAGGAGGAGGGAGGGCCTCATCGTCCGCGGCCGAGGCACAGCGACAGCCCGAGCCGGGGGACACCCCGGCAGCATGGCGGCCGATGCACAGGGGGATGGCCTGCGGCGCGGGGCTGGCCTCGGTCGGTGAAGGGGCCGCGGTCAGGGCGCCGGGGGATTCCCCCTCGGGCCCGGCGATCTGCCGACCGGGTGAGGAGGACGACTTGTCGTCGCCGATGAGCAACAGCCCCGGGGTCGGCTGGCCGGAGAGGATGAGCCCCAGGCAGAGGCGGAATTGGAGGGTGGTCCACCAGAGAAGCCCCGGGGCCAGGAAGAAGATTTGCACCATCAGGAAGCCGGCATCCACCAGGGTCAGCGCCATGCGCAGGAGAAAGCCGAGGAGGCGCTTGAGAGGCCCCTCCGGGGGGGAGGCAGCGACGCCGGACCCTTCGGCCGGAGCCAGGGCCGGCAGCAGGAAGGACCCGCCCCGGGCGGATCCCGCTGACGAGGAGGCCCGCCGGCGGATGATCGCAATTTGGGAAAGGGAGGGCCACCATGCCGAGGAGCCAGTCATCCCGGGCAGGAGGGACGTTGCGCTCTCGTGGCCGGGGGTCGGAGGGGGCGGCGAGGGGTGTTCCGCCGGGCCGAGCGATGCGCCGGCCGCAACAAGGAGCGGCGGCAGGGGGAGAGTGGCCATTGCGGCCAAGCAGCGAGAGGCCGACGCAGACCGGCGGGCGAGAGAGAGAGAGAGAGAGAGGGGGGGAGAGAGAGAAAGGGGAAGAAGGAGGGCGGAGCACGCGGAGGGCACTCGGCGATGAGACAGCGGATCGGCGGGGGATGGAATTCGAGATGCGCGGCCAGACGGGCAAGGTAGAGCCCTTCCCCGGGCTCTCTTATGTCCCGGCAGCAAGCGGGGCCAGGGTGGGCACGGGGATGCGGCGGATGCGGCGGATGCGGCGGATGCGGCGGATGCGGCGAGTGCGGGGCCCGGGGTGTGGGCAGGAGGGAGGGGAGGGGGGGAGGAGGAGGAACAGCAGAGAGACGGCGATACACCGCGGCCCGAAAGGCCGGAGGGGGGCTAGATCCGTCTGGCCGAAAAGTGCCCCTCGGTGCCCGCGCCCCCGCCGGACTCCGATCATGACCAAGCCACAGAAGACCGGAGGGGGGTGGCACCAGGCGGAGGCCCCCCCCCCCCCCCCGGACTTTGGCCCCTGGTGCCAGCTGATCGTATGCCATTGTCTTGAAACAGCACCCCCGGAGGCCGGCCTGTGGGCTGAGATCCGGCAACCAGTCCTTGCGAGACGCGCGCGCGCGCGCATACACACACGCACACGCACGGAGATCTACCAAACGTCCGGCCCGGCAGCAGGGGGGGATGCCTTCCTCCCGCGCGGGATGAGACCACACGCGTGCGCGTGTAGGCCGGCTCACATGCGCGCCCTCGTATGCTGGTGGCATGTCCATGGCGGCCAGGGCGGGGCCCAAATTACGCCGGCACATTTATTCATGCTTGCTGGGTCTTTCTCTGGGTGCCCTCGGTGGTGGCGGTGACGGCGGCCGGATGGAGGGCCGGGCCGGGCCGGGCCGGGCCGGGCCGGGCAAGCGGACGGGACAGCCGCCCTTTCCCAGGGCCGCGGATGCCTATTCGCCGAGACCTTGTGCTGCCAAAATTGCAGGGGCGCTCCCCGAGTCCGCCCCAGGCCGGCGTGGGCATGGACAGGGGGAAAGGACGCGCCCGACCGGGCGGCCTCACGCAGGCGCCTGCGCGTGGACGCCCGCATGTGCGCCGGCGGCCACACATGCGCCTGCTTGTCCACGCCGGCGCGCATGTCCCGGTAGACAGTTCGAGGGAGGGCCTTTCCGCTGAACTCGACGTGGGAAAGGAATTTCCCGTCCCGGTGCAGGCTCTTTCGGGCTAAGGCACGGCCCAGCTCCCGGAGCGGCGGCCCTTCTCCGAAGGCGACATATGGGGCCCATGAAGAGAGCGGGCAGGTTAGTGGTTTGGCCGCGTAAGCAAGCGGCATGTGGGCCCCCCCCCCCCCTCTTTCCCCCCCCCCCCCCCCTCGCGGTGGCTTTCCTCCCCATCCGCCGGGGGTGCCCTCCGTGTTGCCCTTGACAAGCCTACCGACCAATGGTGCTCCGCATTTGGGGCCTGGGGCCGAGAAATGGCCTGCGCACGGGGGCCAAATGCACGCGAATCATCAGGGCGCGCACATTCACTCGCATGCGCCGGCCGGCTGGAAGGGGGGGGGGGGGGGGGGGCGTATGCCGGCGTGCCCCTAGGGGGCTTTTTCCTGGTGCCAGCCGGTCGGCCAGAAGGGCGGGGTCGACGACTACAACAACAACAACAAAGAGACCACACACCATTGCGGCCTTGGAGAATGGTGAGGCCCCGGCGTGGGTGTTGATTTCCGGGCGCCCCGTGGCCCTGGAGGGGCGGGGGGGGGCGAGGGGGCAGCGGCCGAAGACACTGGTGCTCGGGCCACCCGAGGCCGGCAGGACTGCCATGGCGCGCCCGGGCTGCATCCGCTTTGTCCAGCTTCTCCGCGAAGGAAGGGGCCGCAGGGGGGGGGAGCCCTTTGGTGGGGTCAGTTTCGGGCGCGGCCAGGCCCTTGTGCCCTTGGCAGCGACATTTCCAACGGCACCCTTGGGGAGGTGCGAACATGCGCCGGCTGGTCGGGCGGAGGACAGCGGGCCCCCGGGGGGCCGGGGACGCGCACGCGCGCGCGCGCCATGACAAGACGCGCCCCGGGCGCGGCTTCCTCCAGGCGGACTAGCATTGGGGAATTCCAGGGCACACTCTACTTCTTCGGGTCCCCACCGCCGGCCGGGGATCCCTCTCCCGAGCAGGCAAGGAACACGGTCGCCCGGGCCGCCTGTCCCCGGGGTGCTCTCAAACATGGTCCCCTCCCTGGGTGCACGCGTCTTTGCGCGCACAACAAATGCAAGCCCGACTGCTGGTCGTCCGAATGCTGTGGCCACCGGCCGGGCGGGGCCTGCGACTCCGGGGCTGACAGGACCGAGCAAAGGCGGGAAATGCATTTGGCAGATGGGCTCCGGGGAAGGGGGGCGAGTCGGAGACAGAGACGGATTCTGCCGAGGGATATCCCGGCTACCAGGAGCCGAATTGGTGGGCCCAGCGCCCGGGAAGGACAACTGGCTGGTCGGTGTCGCCGAGACGCGCCCTTTCTCCAGGGACCGAGCTAGTCGGTGCGTGAGTCGGCCACTGAGTGAGCGGTGGGGCGCTTGGGCATGCGTGTGTGTGTGTGTATGTGTGTGTGCGCGCGTGCGCGCGAGTGGGACAGGCCCCCGGGCCTGGGCGCTTGCCCATCCTCCCCGGACCTACCCCCCCCCCCCCCGAGGGGTGAGGCGGCCGCCGCCCCGGCCCCCTCGCCTCCCTGGCTGGGCGCCCTCGGGCACATGCGAGCGCCTGCCGGCTCGCCTGTGGATGACCGAATGCCGGCGGTTACCAGCCCGGATCTTGCGCCCAGCAGGCCGAAGCTCCGGACAACTGCCGGCCGCGGGGCAAGGGCGAGGGGCCGGGAGGGGGTGACAACGACACATCGCGAGGAGCGGCAGGGGCGCGGGCCGGCCCGGGGGCGGGC